AATCAATATGTTAATCAATACACATGCACTTTAATACTAGTATTGTTTACAACACGTTTATCAATATTGGTACTATTTAAAGGAAGTTTATCAATAGCAGTAATGTTAACAGCCTGTTTATCAATAATGGTACCGTTAACAGAATGTTTATCACTGACTGTATCGTGTAAGCACATTTATCAATAACAGTACTGTTTAAAGCACGTGTTAATGCACGATTTCACCAATACACTAATACACGTGTATATAAATTTACTGGTCATTAACACAATATTGTTTTAAAAAAATGCAGGTGCTCCTAAATGCACAAGTTTAGTAATGCACTTTTTTTCCAATAAAAAAGCTTCTTTTCATTTGGCAAACAATTTTCTTAAAATATTATTCTTTTCTTTCATGATATGTTAATTTATAAAGGAGTAAGTCTTTTGACTGGAAGTCTAATTTTATATTGTAATATACCTTTTATTTTTGTGGGGATAGGGGACCTTTTATATCTCGCAACAACACAGCATAGGTCATATGGTGACTTTTCAGGTTAACTGAAGGAGGAAGACCTCAGATGCCCTTCCGTGCATTATTTCAGGCACACGAATAAATGTGCATCTGAGTAGAACCATTAAGGTTCTGTAATCTATTTTGACAGCTTCCTCTTATAAAGTAAATGAGCCTAGTCATGACAAAACCAACATAATGGGTTTGCCACCAGCATGGATCCAGACCAGTCTGCGCAGGCTGGTCTGGATCTATGCTGGTCGCAAATGCACTATGTTGGTTTTGACTCGACGCGGCTCAAATGGATGTCCTTGTTGTGATTTAAACTCACATCAGTGTGGGGCAAGTGGTTTGATGTCACAGACTGTAACCACTCAGTCATGGAAGCCGCGCTAAAATAAATATGGAGGCATGCATAAATCGGAAATGATGCTTCTTTAAAGTGTAAAAAAGTAAAAAAGAAATATGAGCAACAAAAGGAATGATACGTAAAACCAGAAAGACATCAAATAAACTGCTTATTACAGGAAAAGTCGTAATAAAAGGACTTAAGGCTTGTAAAAGAAAACTTGCTGTTTCTATAAAAACAGAAGTGGTACAGAGTTTGTATCTAAAAAAAAGCCTGCACAGTTATGTCAATATTCATTTTATCACTTCATAAGGTAGACAACCCAAAAATTATCTTGAATTGCACAAGTTTGAATCAAAGTTGCATACAATGAGTTAGCAAAATTTCAAATTTTCAACTTTCAGGAAAATATGTTTGTAGTCTTTTTTTTCAAAGAAATAAGTAATTATTCACTTTTCAAGAGATTATTTGCATGTAATAAGCAAAATCTGACTATTATCATTACCTTAGTGCAGTAACTGGTTAACTCCTATTAAATTTCAATAGGACTTAACCTATAACTGCACTAAGCTGAAGATATGTGCATGCTGTTTTTTTTGTTTTTTTTAATATAAATCTACCCTTAACATTACTTTTATAATTAGGGATAATAACTACCATTTGCTCACTTAGATTGTACACTTGACAAATTTTCTGATAAGAACAATTCTTAATTAACTAGAAATATGTCCATAGGACACAGATGCTTCTGCATTTCACTTTTTTGTGACATCTGTATGACAGACAAGGGCAGATGACAGACAAGGGCAAATCTGTATGCCTTCCAACACACCTACTTCCCAAAGTAGTAGTGGCATAAATTTTACAATAAATCTATGCATTTACAGCTTTTAGTCTTCAAAATCATTAAAAAAGCACATTGCAACACAGCTTATATATAAATTGAGTAATTTATTATTTTAACAATTAATTATTTATCTAATGAAAAACAAAACAGTTCAGAACAGAACAGACAAAAACTTAATAAACTTATTTAACACTTTAAACAATTAGTATACAGTGCTGGTTCTATAGCCGGATAAGATTTAAATGTATGAGATATTTCAACAAATAATGTTAATGCATAAATATAATATATTAAGATCTATTATATTGTACATGTTTTATACTTGAGACATTATGACCCTACTGACTGTGTTAAAATATTACATCAAAGAGGTGAACAACTATTATAACTGTTATTGTACGATGACCATGAAACTGTACAGAGAAGATACCCGGGTAAGTATCACATATTGAACAATGAATAATAAAGAACTTTTGGTATAAAATCAGCTGATCACTTTGAGAACAAAGAAATGCAAATTGGTAGCTACTCTCCTGCCGGGTTGTAATAGAATACGAAATGGACTCCATTTCGCGAAATGAACTTACCGCCTACGAAATGGACATTTGTTTGTTTAACCACGATGAGTAATATATTTTTTATTAATTAATGTTTAACATATGACATAAAACTACAGATTGAACCAATTAAAGGAATAGGAATGGATGGATTGATGTCTGTCTAATATAAATATTCATCATTTAAAAAGAGGTTCCATGACAGTTTTTCTGTTGACATCAACCCTATAAGTGAGAAATTCGTGTTTTAAGACGCTACTTTTTACTTGAGAAATAAGTTCATGGGCGCCGCCATTTTGGCGTTCTGTCATTCTCGCGAGACAGACGAGACCGAGATTGTGACGTGTTACACCCACTTCCGGTTAGTTGTACACGCTGGTACAACTGAAATATATCTTGTGAAGAACTTATTAATCTTATTGCGTACATTATATATTATTTATGAAAACATCATATGGAACTGAATTGCTTTAATTAATAAATTGAAGACGCCGCGACATTAATTATCATTTGTCCGATTTTCAAGCTTGATGATGATCCCACCACATGATTTAAGCAATGACTGCTTAATTTTCAAAGATAAACCATTAATTTAATTTGGGTACTATGAATTGACGATATATCCTTTTATTTTGTACTTAATTTTCGCTAGACAAGCTGTCCGAATAGGGTACATGTGCGGTCATGTATCTTTTTTTCAGCGTAAAATATCAACAAAATCCAATATGCAAAGATCTACTGAGGACGCGATTTTCCGCCATTGACGCTAAAAATGAGAATGGCGCAGGAAAATCGGCAGCCAGACTAATATCGTATGAAAACAAAACTGCCCGTTAGGTTTTTTAGGCACCCGGTCAAAACTGGTACCAACAGCAAAAGATTGCCCATTTCCCTGTAATTACGCATATTCTCGGGTCTATCAAGTTCCCTATAGCATTTTTCCACGTTATCTACTTACCCAATTCCTTTCCCACACAGATACACATTTCTACTACCGTAAATTTAATCCAATAAAACAAAAAATCATAAATCTACTTAATATTTAAAATGATTATTGGTAACTGAAAAAAATGTGTTGCTATTTTATGACATGCTGTCATTTACAGCATAATTCGACGGTGTGGAACTTAATTTCCCCTAAGGTCATTCAGTTCACCGATGAAGCGTAAAAAAATAGATGTCTATTTCGTCATTAGAATATTTGACAAGGGTGATTAACCAATCAGGGCAACATTGTGCATGATCAAAAGGTCTGTCGGCACAGATCGAGGCATACAAGGAGCAATAAAAATCGTCAGTACACAGTGTGACAGGAACATTTGGTGCAAATAAGGATCAATTAAAATGGACAATGCACAGTATTAGACATAAGTAGTAAGAACCAGCAATTGTGTGAATAAATTATGCAAATTAGATTTTTGAGCAGCCAATAAAAATGTTTTGCCTGCAATTCATATTAGGCTAGCGCTACGATTACGCCGGCAGCATCATACGTTGACAGACATGTTAAAAATTTACTTTTCAAAAGAGTTGCTTATATTTTTGAAATGTGTACATCAATTATAACATATGTTCACACCTTTAAATTTGAAAGTCAGAATCAAACTGCAAAAATTTAATAACATGAACTATTAAGAACACGTTTTAGTAGGATTTTTATAATAATGATAATTATCGCCGTTCAATAATTAACAGCCAATTATTCGTTGGTGCGTTTGTTTATTTAATTGTATTATTTGATTGTGAAACTTTGTTAAATAATAACATGTGTATTTATTAAATCTGTGAAATATTGTTTAATTACATTAAGATGAGACTTCAATGAACATAGCATTGTTTGGAGTAACGGGCATCACTGGCCTGAAGTGGTGCGACCGGTAGACGTTGATTTTTTTTTGTTTCTTTATTTATTCATTTTTTTTGGATATTATTACGTATTTTGAACCATAAAAAATCTCCTCTCTACCTCCTGTGAAAATTTAATTGTCTGGTCAATACTTAATTATATTAATATTTCCCTACGATTCAACTAGATTTATCATAAACCTAAAGATGTGGGGAAATGACATCACGCGCACCTGTTTTTATACGGCCAATACACAAACATGGCCGCGCTTACTGATTTGTAGAAATCGGTGATTTAGCGATTTAAATTTTGTTATCATTCGTTTAATATTATGATTTGGCGGCAGAAAATTTGCAGATTTATTATTTATAGTATTCTTTTTCTGAAATCAAGTTTTTATTCTAACCTTGTTTTTCCCTTTAATATTACTATTTTCCTATTTAATAGTCATATTTCTGAAAATAATCTGGCCTCTACGAAATGGAGTTTTCGGCCACGAAATGGAGTTTTCGCTTACGGAATGGACATTTGCTTTACAAATTATGGTGTAACTGACATGTCACAAAGGGTATCTTTTCTATTCACTTACGTTTAATCTGGGACGACAAAAATATTTTTGTCCCAGGTTAAACATATGATATAAAACAGCATCTTTCTATTTGAAAGGATTATGTATATAAACACTGAACTATGTGGCATTATTATACGATTATTTTCTAATTATTTTTTAATGTACAAGCATAAATAATGAAAAAAATATTACCAAAATTGTTTAAATAGTAATTTTATGTAATATATCACTTGTTCATTATTAAAAATGATATTAAATAGTACACTTAAACCAAAATTTAAGAAACAAATGTCCATTTCGTAGTCGAAAAGTTCATTTCGCGAAATGGAGTCCATTTCGCATTCTATTACTACCGTCTCCTGCCCCTAAAAAAACTGAAGGCATTTTTCATCTCCATTCAACATGCTAGACTTTGAAATAAAATTAAGTTTCAGACCAAATCTATGACAGCTGTTTATTTGAGATTCATTAAAAAAAGAAAGGATTCAATACAAACAGACGCATCTACTGAAAAAGATTTCTTTCAATTTCTGAAAAAGATTTCAATTTCAATCTACTTTTTGATTCCTTAGAATAAAAAAATCATAGTTCCTTATCAATATTTAGGTTTTTAGTTTTTTACAGAAAGCTCAAGATAGTAAAGATTGTCTGTAACTTCAGTTAATTTGTCTGTTACTTAAAACAGTATGTCTGTTACTTCAATTACTTCAAATAATTTGCATGTTGGTTCAAATAAAATGTATGTTGGTTCAAATAATTTGTCTGTTATTTTAAATAATATGTCTTTTACTTCAAATAACATGTCACTTCAAACAATTTGTAAATACATAAATAACTTCTTACTACATTTCAATAACAAGTAGATTTTATGATGTCAGAGCATTATTTTGGTCTAGTACCTTTTGTCAGTTTTGTTAATGTTCTCTTTTAATATAAAAGTTGTTAGCCTTATATTCTTATAAATATATAGTTTGCCTACACATAAAACCAAATATTAACATAACAGATTTTGGTTAAAAGAATGAACATGCCTTTAATTTTGAAAATCGCCATATTGTTTTCTACACAATCCTGAGTGTTTACATTAAAGGCCCTATATGCAAAAAAAAATCACTTTATTCATTTTCTGAAGAAATATGAGAAGTTATATTGTCTCCAAAAATTTCTGCATAGGTTTGTAACAATAGACTTTCTCTTTTTCAATGTTCACATGAAATAATTACACATGAAATTCAAGGCCAAACATCTTGGCATTTTGTTTGTTAAAGTCTAGCACTTAGTTTCAGAGCAGCAACTTTTTGTTAAGCTTAGAACCCTTCAAGTAATCCAGGGGTTCCATTTAGTGTCAATAGGCTTTAAATGCTGCTGCTGCTGCTGCTGTTGTTTCTGCAAGCACATTTATGGAATGTGAAGGACACAACACTGTCCATAAATAAAAATACAATGGACTGGTACTCAATTGATATAAAAATTTGGTTGTCTGCTTCTCCTACATTGTTCTGTGTAAGTATATAGTGGTTGAACTAAAATTGTATCACAGTCTATAAAGTCATGGGATTATCCAATGGACTGGGTCTCCTTTCAAATTTTCATCTCAGCTCACACTTCACTGAAAGATGAAAATAAAAATGTGCATAAGACATTGCATCAAGAGTCTACAATTTATATAACAAGAAAGCTCTTATGCCTAAAAATTCTATCAATCAAACCTGTAACAATTCAAATATATATATGTATATAGGTATTTCATATACTTTTTTTGAAAAAATGACTTATAATGCTATTAACTGGAGTAAAAACGGCCATATAGCCTGTCAAAATCCTTTATAACTAAAAATAAACACAAAAATAAAATATATTATTAGAAAATTAATCATGTTATGCCCTCACCTTGCTTCCACATTTGAGCTGAGCAACAACTGTTTCTTCATGCGTACAAGCTGTGCGTGTGATAATCTCTGTTTTGGATCGTCACACGACGGAAGGTCTATCGAACATATTCCATCCTTCATGTCCGTCGTGTTCAAATCTTGCATCAAACTAACAATATCAGGCGTGGATTTGGATTTATGAGACCCGTATAGGTCTCGCATATTGTCTTCATTCATATCATGAGGTAAGTCCATTTCAATTTCATTATCATTATCGTAATCTCCTAAATCACTATCTTCTTCACATATATCACCCTCGGGGCTCAAATGCAGCGAACCCGTTGAGGACACGCCACTTGAACTATGAAAACTACGCACAGAGTCTGAGCTCATTGTTTTGTGTTTGAGAACCCCGTGTCGGTCTCCCGCAGCTTCGCCGTTTGGAAAATTCCAACTTAGACGTTTATAAATACTATTATCACGATCTTGTGTTTTGTTTAACTCTTGAATTGCATCTGCTGTGTAGTAGCGTTTTTCCGTTCGGGACTGCCGCCGCTGATATAACTTTGATTTGACATTCTCATCTACAAATTCCGGTAACGTAGACATGTCACTTTCACTTGTACCTGCAGAGATGGACATATGAGGTACACGGAGTCTATCATCACCTATATACTGGCTAAACACTGTCGGGTCCGATTGCGAATATTGCACTGTTGTATGATTGCTACTATTTTTAGACATTTGATCACTGTCTAATGTTCCACTCGACCCCTTATTCACAGGGGGCGCACTTTTATTTCCTGCGGGATAAACATGTTTATGCACTTCCGTACTATACATTGGGGCATCTGAATTCACTGACATTTCATTCCATGACCTTGACCTATTAATAGGTGAGGACATGTCCTCTGACCTTTGACCTTCAGGTTCTTCACTAGCACAACGGGTCAGTTGTAAGAGGGGAAGATTTGTGTCACTTTCAGAATACACTATAGGGGTATATCCAACTACTTCCTCCGTTATAATTTCTGACTGTGGGAAACTTGGTTTCTCACTGGACGTCGTTGCCATACGAGCTTCTCTATATAAGTCCTGCAAAGACAAATGAACATGACTATTAATTAAAACTTCAATTTTTTTAGATTTCTAAAGATATTTTGTAAAAGAGTAACATCCAATTTTATATCTTGGACCAGAGTATAAAACTGCAAAATTTGAAATAAAACAGATGAAAATCAAAATTTTTGATTTCACTGTAGAAAAATATTTCTTTTATATATATTTGTTAAATATCTAAGGTTAGCAGTTCTACTTAAGCCTAAAAATATGAATTGAGGGGCATCTGAGGATAGACCTTTAACATCTGTAAAGCCTGCAAAGATTTCCTATGACCTGAACCAAATTCATACGATTTTAAGACCATCAAAAATGTTTTAAAAAACTTATAATCATATAAAAAAATCAGCCAAAAAAAAACAAAAACAAAAAACAACATTCCATCTACAAAGTTTATTACAGACACTTGTGTTTTTAAAACAATTACATCAAAGAACAGTGTTAAAGCCTAACAAACCAAATAATGGAAGCCTAGCCCAGATCTATGAAAATATTTTTAAAATTCTAAAAATAAAACCATCTCAGTTAAGACAACAAAAAATCTTGTACCCACCTGAGCTTTGCGTATATGAGTAATCCAAATTTGAACTGCATTCTGATCTGCATGGAAGGTGAAAGACGAAACGGGTACATGGTACTCATTCACATATATAAGAAGAAACACACCTGAAAAATACCAGTAAAACATCTTGTGAAATCTTTACGATAAAGAGTTATGGCCCTTGGAAAGAAGAAAAGAACATGTTATTCTTATTCACATACATAAACAAAATTTAAAAGTGCTACTGAAAAATTTATAACCCATCTTGGATACTACTTAAAAGTTGGGAAAAAAACTTGCCATATATGTTTAAAATGAAATAAAAGAAAATCCTTCTGGCAAATGAAAGTTGGAGTTACTTCCCTTGTTTTCATTGAAAACATCAAAATAAAAATATTCACAAAAAAAATCTTTTTTTCCTTGTTCCATAGGATCTTTCAGTCTTTATAGTGTTATAAAATTAACATTTACCCATACCCTGCAAAAACCGAAAGTAATAATTAGCCTTTACGTCCAGTATAGAGCCAGGCCAGCCTGCATGTCCATGACTTCTGACTAGGCTCTTTCAACACTTGGATGACTTTAAATTTAATCTTAATCCCCTAAAATTGATAAAGGACAGTTTTCCCAAAAATCAGGAAAATGGGCAAATCCCTTGAAGGGAATTTTAGCCCAAATTAAAAGCTATTTTTACTAAAAGGGAAAAATAGGATGTTTTGTTGTCTACCTTTATCTTTAAGTTCATGTGTGATAATTCTATCCACTCTCATTGGTGGTTTTACTATTTTATATTTATCCATCCTCTTGCTGGCCTTACATATCAACATTAAATCTGTGAACAACATCACTTCTACATCCATCTAGAATACATAAATATATTTATTTTATAATATGATATAAAACTAAAACTAATTAACATTTTTCATTACTGTTACAGTAAAAGCTACCATTACATAGCAAGACATACCCCCACACATAAGACCTGGCCCAGCTGTGAATCATTTGCGGCCAGCATGTACATGTATGGCATTTTTGGTCAGCCTGTTCATCATTTGTAACCATACATATTTAAAATTCACAATTTAAAGTCCCAAAATTCAAATCAGACACGTAATACTAATTGTTAAGCTGAATCTTGGAAAATTTGAATAATTAATGGACATGAGAAACTGACAATTGTTATCTTTGATGACTCATTTGAATATAAAATATATATGTTCTAAACTCTAAAATTTTCAACCAAGTAAAATCAAATGAAAAATTTGCAATAAAATTCCATTACTGTTCAAAAACAGTAATACATTTTGTATAAAAGTAGAAAAGAGGAATGTTTATTTTAAGCAGCAAAAGATTTTCCTCTAATAAAAATAATACAATATGACGAGAAACTTACCCTGTTTTGGTATTCTTTCATCTTGAGTGGCGACTGCATGACAAGGGCTCGGGTCTGGGAGGCATCACAACCTGGCATCGGGGCCGTCAAGTTAAAGTTACTATTATATGGCTGTATCAGCTGAAATATTCAAAATCGTAACATATCAAAATTTTGTAAAAAGTAATCTGGTATTCAAAAGCCATAAAAGCACAAAAAATAATAGCACCAAACTAGTGGCTCCATTTTCTGTACAACACAAATTAATTAAATAGTCAACTTTTTTTTTTTTCTTTTTTTTTCTTTTTTTTTCTTTTTTTTTGGAAACGTCAACTTAACTTCCATATATATAGTAAGTAAATGTAATATACACAAATTGTTGTAGCCTTAAAAAGCAGTTTCTTGCAATTATCAGACTAGCGTTTCCGTTAGTTTTACCCATACTGCATGCTTAAGATGACAAAATTTTACTATTGTGTTGTTATTTCATATGCTGCCGTAAGAAAATAGTTACGGGTGTAATGACCTAAATTTCCATGAAAAATTGTTTTCTTAAGGTATAGTATTTTGCAATATCCTCATTACCGATCATTGAACAGATCCCCTTGGTACGAATATTTTGATCCAAACTGCAACATATGACAGATATTATTAATCTAAGACAGATATTATTAATTTACCTTGAGACATTCATCATTAGGCGCGTCAACAGCATCGTAAGTTTCTATTTTATCCACAATTGCCTGCAACTTCTCCTCCTCGTGTTGCTGGTGTAACGTGGAATTTACATGGTGAACAAACCTGTCCACACTAGCAATCTAATGAGAAAAAATATTTAAAATTTGTCAGGAAAACTGTAAATGTAGCGCTGAATATATCAGCAGGAAAAAAATACACAGAATGAACTTGTATACACTTTATAACATGTTAGCTACTGTTCATTGCAGGTTAATGCAAACTAAAAATAGAGACATTCACATGTTAGTTTGTCACAAATATACTCTTGTTTTTAACTTAATTGCCACTGAGGACAAGTTTGTAAAGAGCCTTAATTTTGATGCCTTTCTTGACAATTATCTCCCTTGTTTGTTGGTAAAATTACCTCCCTTGATAAAACATTGTACTGTATTGTTGGATACTATACAGGTTACACATTGTACCATAAACTGATCCATGGCCAAACGTTTATGGTGAACCAATTAAGGATATATACTGTATATAAGTGCAATATACCCTTATAGTTATTCTTTAGTTATTTAAATGCACATTATGCCTCAGAAACGAACTAGAGGATGCTTTTGTAAAAAAGCGCATGTCTCCCCCACTGCTGAGAATAACTGTGAATGGAAACAGGAATGGAAATGGAGATAAAAGAACAGAGTATATAAAACCAGACAACTGATATATCAATAATAGTTAAATGTCCTCACTGATAAGAACTCTAGTTATCATCCGGAAATGAGAAAATGACCAATGGTCACTGTGACCTTAACCTTTGACCTACTGACCCCATAAACAAGAGGGATCATCTGCTCAATAAGACCAATCATCCTATGAAGTTTGAGGGTTGTAGGTCTAAAGGAACTCTAGTTATCATCCGGAAAGGAGAAATTAACCAACGGTCGCTGTGACCTTGACCTTTGACCTACTGACCATTAAAACAATAGGGATCATTTGATTAATAAGACCAATCATCCTATGAAGTTTGAGGGTTGTAGGTCAAAAGGAACTCTAGTTATCATCCGGAAATGAGAAATTGACCAACGGTCACTGTGACCTTGACCTTTGACCTACTGACCCCAAAAACAATAGGGATCATCTGCTCTATAAGACCAATCATCCTATGAAGTTTGAGGGCTGTAGGTCAAAAGGAACTCTAGTTATCATCCGGAAACGAGAAATTGACCAACGGTCACTGTGACCTTGACCTTTGAACTACTGACCCAAAAACAATAGGGATCATCTGCTCAATAAGACCAATCATCCTATGAAGTTTGAGGTCTGTAGGTCTAAAGGAACTCTAGTTATCATCCGGAAACGAGAAATTGACCAACGGTCAGTGTGACCTTGACCTTTGACCTACTGACCCCAAAAACAATAGGGATCATCAGCTCTATAAGACCAATCATCCTATGAAGTTTGAGGGCTGTAGGTCAAAAGGAACTCTAGTTATCATCCGGAAACGAGAAATTGACCAACGGTCACTGTGACCTTGACCTTTGAACTACTGACCCCAAAAACAATAGGGATCATCTGCTCAATAAGACCATTCATCCTATGAAGTTTGAGAGCTGTAGGTCAAAAGGAACTCTAGTTATCGTCCGGAAACGAAGAATGGACGGACGGACTGACGGACGGACGGACGGACGGACTGACGGACGGACGGACAGGGCAAAAACAATATGTCTCCCCCCGAGGTGGGGGAGACATAATAATTTAAATAGTTTAAGAACATATTAGAGGCTTATCATCTGAAGAAAGAAGCACTAATTGTGAAATAATATGTCATAAAAGCTGCAATTTGTAAACAAAGTAGTTTATTTACTTCCATACAAAATACTAAATCACTATAACTGTGCTAATTGCCATGAAGCAACAGAAGCAAAAGATGGTTCAGG